TAAGATGATCCCCACCAGAGCTAAGGAGATTGGGTGAGAGACAGTGGTGCTTGCTGTTAGAATCGCACACGAAAAGTCACACTGAAGAAGGCAGGACGCAGAGGGGCCCACACCACCCCTTCCCTAGCCCTAAACTCATATATCCTACTTGGAGGGGTACAAGATGCAGTCCAGGCTTTAGACCTGAGCCCAGTACCAGGACCCAAGGATGAAACCTGTGCTAGGCAAAGCCTTGTGACCTCCACCACGGGCCAGCGCTCAAGGACACTGTAGCCCCTGGATGTGCCCTAATCAGGCTGCTGCTGGCCCTGGCCACTCCCCTGCTGATGTCTGGTGAGGGAGTGAGGAGGGGAGTGCACTCTACCCCCTGGGGAGCTGGGCAGCACAGGGCACTGTCTTGGAGCTCAGGGCCAAGCCTGCTGTGGAGAGACTCCATGCCCTGCAGAAACTGGGGGAAGCTTTGTCAGCAGAGCTCACAGATGGAGCCTACAGACTCATCAGCCAGTAGGCAGGGACCTGGGCACTGCAGGGCAGTTTGGATTTTGGCCACATGGATGGCAGCTGTGGAGGGGGCCCAGGCACACCCACTCACCCGGCCACAAGAATGGCCTGCAATGCACAGCACAGCCATGGGATGAGTGGACTGTCCCTTGCTGACCCCAACCTCAGGCGACATAGCCAGTGGCAGGTCAGCTCTTGGAGATGGGGCCATCGAGCTGCTCCGGCATTGGCACAAGCCAGTGCCCCAGCAGAATGGACTAACACTTCCGCCTGCATCACCACCACGGCAGCGTGGGCTTCAGTGCACCTCTGGTTGCTGCAGCTGTGCGAGTTGGATACAATTCAGGGTGGCATCAGACTTGGTAGCCAAAGTACACTAACACCCAAAGTTCACTAGCCAAAGTTCACTAACACCCAAAATCAGGCTGCAAAAGCATAAGCCAAAGCTCCCTTTCCTGAGGGTGAAGCAGTCTTCAGCACACAACTTTGCCCTGACACTTTGTGCTGGGCTGGTGAAAACTACCACTGAGTGGATCTTAACTCCTCCCTTGCACAGACCTGACTGTGCTAAGAGCTTGGGGAAGAGCCCTGGAGCCACAGGAAGACACGCAGCCCCAGTGCACCAGGGTCCCACTCTACCTGGCACCCCCATGGCTGGCGGAGTCCACCTCAGATTCAGGCACCCATGGCAGTGTGGCTGTGGTGCTGCTCCAGTGCTAGGGGGATCTGGATGGATTGTGGGCTCAGTGTGGACACAGATTGGCAACATTAAGAGCTGCAGTCGTGACACAGGAGCCTGAGGCTGTTTGATCTCTAGTGACTGCCCAGAGCTCAGCAGAATCCTGCAGTGTAATCACAAGCCAGTAACTTTGGATGAGACATCTGGGTTTACACTGGGCCCAGGGAGAGGCTTGCAGGGACAGAATACTCTTTCTAGGTCCTCTCCTGGCCCTTTCTCAATAACTCACCCAAAGTTTATTTGGGCCAAAACTGGACTTAGATTGCCCTCTAGTACTGAAAGAGTGACAACACACCAGATGCTGAGCAAATCTGGACTTGGGCACCATCCAGTGCTGAAGAAGTGACTAGACTCAGAGGAAGTAAGTGGCTGCTTAGGATTCCTAGGAAGACTGGAACAAATAGAAGCAGATTTGAAGACTGTGATAAGTAACAGATCCTTCACTGCCCACGTAATGCCAAATTCCCAATGTGTTAAACTATTATTAAACATTACAATTATATAATATAATAATAAGTGCTATAAAATGTATTATTTTAAATATTTTCTAGAACATACCAGTGCCTCATGAAAGATAATAAAATGTCTTCTATCAGTCTCTGAATGATAAATTTAGCATTTAATGAGTAATAAGAAGCAATGACTTTCATGAAGCACTCATTTGAAAATACTTCCACTGTTTCCTACATCACACCATCGCAAGTGTACTACCTCCACAACCTCTTATGTCATGGCATCCGTACCAGGAGGCACGATTTTCTAATCGGTTGAAAATCATCATCATGAATACTGTCAGTAGCTTCTAAACTTGCAAAGGTAGGGGCTGGGGATTTAGCTCAGCGGCAAAAGCGCCTGCCTGGCAAGCGCAAGGTCGTGAGTTCGGTTCCTGGTACCAGAGAAAAACCAAAAAAAAAAAAAAAAAAAACTTGCAAAGGTGTAAAGTGAAGTACCTCCTAAAGAGCTTGAAAATATCTGACTCACATCAAGGATGAGGACGTTTTGTAGCTGTTGACACTCAATGTTTTGAGCATTTGTTAACGGAACTTAAAGATGATTGCCTAAGTATAAAATGAGGCATTTCTTCCATTTAGTTCTGCACACTTGGTGAGATGTTTTTCCAATGCTTTCCAACTTTAATAGCTAACAAGTGCGGACATAGCTGAGTACTGATCCTGCTACGAACTTATAATGTTGTACAATGTAAATGATATTTTCAGTAATAATGAGCTTATTCTCATTCTAGTATTGTTAAATAACATAGTAGATATCATATCTATGTGAAAATGCAAATATATTTGTATTGAGTTTAAATGTGGAACTCTTTCTATAATTAATGAACAAAATAAAATAAGTTTATAAAGAAATAGTCTTTCACATAACTTTAATTATTTATTTCATAAACCAGATACGCATGTTTAAATATCACATTCTCTGTTGTGAGAAACTAAAAAGGTAAGGACCAAAATGTATAACAGGAAACAGGAAGACAATGTTGAAATGGGAAGGGGAACATGGGGGGGAAGGATGGGAAAAGAAAAACCAAAAAGAGAATAGAAGGAAAAAATGGAAACAAAGGTTTTGTAAATGAGAGGAAGAGGGAATGAAAGGAAGGGAATGAAATGGGGGAAAAAGAGGAATCAAGATATACCATGCACAGGTACAAGTTCCCTATGATGAATATGATCATTAGGTATATCTAAAATGTACCAATAAAATTAATTTAAAATTCTTTATTTCATGAAATATTGCTAAGTAGTACAATGATAAATACTATGAAATATATTTCAGAGATAGAAAAACATTTTACTATGGTATATCTACATTTTGCACCATATTTATGTTAATGATAGTATAACATAGGTACCAGTGCAATGTATTTTTTTCAATGTTTATATATTTCATGTATATCTATTCTAGCTTTTGTGAATATTTTGTAAGCATATAATAATATGTTATGGTCTGTTGCTTATGAACAATTTCTTTCCCTTTCATATCATCTATTGTATGTTTTGAATTTTACCTAGTCTTTCAGGATCCTACACCAAGGAAAAAATATGATGTTTACCCATCTGGGTCCAATATATTTCACTTAAGAGTATGGTCTCTAGTTGCATCCATTTACCTATAAAAGCCTTGAGATTATCTTTTTTAATAGCTGAGTAATACTCCATTGTATAAAAATACCACATCTTTTTTACCCATTCCTCAGTGGATGGGCTTCTGGGTTTGTTTCCAAGATTTTGCTATAAAAGATTATGCTGCTATAAACATGGGTGCACATATATTGCTGTGGTATGATGTCTTTAGTTCTTCTGGGAAAATACCCAGAAAGAGACTAGCTGGGTTAAATAAGACTTCCAATCCTAGTTTTGTGAGGAATCTCCAAATGGATTTCCACAGTGGTTTCACCAATCTACACTCCCACCAGCAGTGGAGTAGGGTTCCTTTTTCCCTACAACCTCCCCAGCGTTTGTTATTGGCTGACTTCTTGATGATAGCCATTCTTTCTGGGGTGAGATGGAATCTCAGTGTTGTTTTAATTTGCATTTCTCGAATGATCAGTGACGCTGAACATTTTTTCATGTATTTATTCACCATTAGTATCTCTTCATTTGAGAAGTATGTATTCATCTCAGATGCCCATTTTTGGACTGGGTCTTTGAATTTTGCTGGCCTGATTTTTTTTTTAATTCTTTATATATCCTAGATAGAAGTCCTTTGTCTGAGGGGCAGTTGGCAAAAACAGACCTGAAGATCAATGGAACAGATTAGAAGATACAGATATAACTGCAAACACACTCAGTCATCTTATCTTCGACAAAGGGGCCAAAGATGTTCAGTGGAAGGAAGGTAGCCTCTTTAATAAATGGTGCTGGAAAAACTGGCTTTCCACATGCCAAAGACTAAAACTAGACCCATGTCTTTCACCATGAATTAAAGTCAAAATGGATCAAAGATCTAAATATTAAAACAGAAACACTAAATTTATTGGAAGAGAAAGTAGGTAAAAATCTTGACAATATTGGGGCAGGTAGAGAGTTCATGAGCAAAAACCAAACTGCATGTGAAATACTTTAAAGAATCAACAACTGGGATCTCATCTTATTGAAAAGTTTTTGCACATCTAAAGAAATCACCAAGAAAGTAAACAAAACCCAAGAACTGGGAAAAATATTTTAATCAACACTTCTTTGAAGTTTTCTTTGTGTCCCTTTATGGAAGTTCTTCCCTCGTCCAGACTTTCCTGTCATTTACTGAAACTTATCACCCAGTCTTTTGTGGTTGTGAACCTCCTTCCTATTGCTAGGCTGCAATCACCTGAGTGGGTCTGGCTCAACTTGGAGCCCCTCAGCCCTCAGGACAGTGACACAGCTGTGTCCGGGTTCTCAGGTCTTTACAGCATCCTGTTGGAATTAACTCTATTCTACTTCCAGAGCACTTTCTACTAGGTCAACAAGGACTAAGGAGCAGATCATCGGACTTCCTGCCAAAAATTCTCCCTAGGATACCCCACATCAACTCTCAAGACACGAGTTAAGTAGTTATCTGGTGGCCCTGGTTCTGCTGATAATATCCCCAGATTTATCACGGAAACAGGCACAGGAACTGAAATATGACCTACGTGCAAGTCACTCCGACAGTGAAATGGTTGCGTTCCGTGTTGGGTAACAATTTATTGACCTGTGGGCTTAATTTGTGTAAAGACTGAATTTGTATAAATAGACACAGCCATGCATTCGTTGGTAGGCAGTGCCACGGACATGAGGGAAACTCGTTTAAACATGGACATTTGCAAGGTTTTATTAATCTGCACAGGTTGGTTTAAATTTGATGTTTCGTTTGTTTTTAAGGAACAAATTTAAGTGAGGAATTTGAATCTTGGCTGAGATCCTTTTAAGTCGTGATTATTCTTCTCTTTCTCACACTTATTCTTTCTCTTTTTTGTGTAGTTTGTGGGTCTGATTAAAGAACACAACCACAATCTTGGATTATTTCAAGTAGGGTTCAACAATTTGTATATTTTCCACTTTAGGTTGTTCTTCTAACTGCTTAATTTGATGTGTAACTCTTTTTCTATTATATAACAAGAAGTCATATGAAATACTCATGAATTTATGGCTGCTCTAAATGCGAGGATGTTGTTTTGGATTTTGACTATGTGCAGCTATGCCACATTTTTAGACTTACTACATAGTTCGGGAGTGAGGATCAGGATCTACTGTTTTTCATTTTCACTGTCAAAATGTCACACAGTGCCATTTATAATGAGTCACAAGCAGGGCCTGTATTCATTCTAATAAAAAGAAAACCAATGAAAAAAGGAGTAAACTAAAATAGATTTTATAATGCCGTTGTAATGCAACAAATTTTATATTAAAAATGGGGCTTCACTGAACATGCTTTGACTGAAATGATCATTAAAGGATGAAATTAGTGAAATATCCTTTTGAATAAAATAATCATTCTACATAGCAATTATTAAATATGCTTATTGAATGAAGTAAGAAACTAAAGGTATAGTAATTCTGGGATCACAAGTTGTTCTTCACCTAAAGTTGTTCATCCAGCACAACTGAAATGAATTTAAAAGAACGAGCATAAACACTGAGTCAGTGTTAAAGGCAGTGTTTCCTCCAGTTATGGTTTCAGCTATGTGTGTAATTTATGGGGACAAAAAAGAGAAAAATTATGAGCAAAACTGTTCATTTTATATTTTTGGTCATAGCTAAGAAGGCTTTCGGTGTTATCTCATCAGGGTTTTCCCACATTGGGGCAGAAATTCAGATATTAATTAACCCCGTGAACTTGCCTGAGAACCTGCTTCCTGGAACCCAGCTAAGTCGAGCCTATGACAAAGACGTGGCTGGGAAAGCAGACGCCTACCGCTTTCTGAATAAAACAAAGGATTTTGTCATCAATGCCAGTAAGTGAATTTTAGCACTCATGGGTTCGAATTTGTTTCATACCTATTTCTTTTCAAGTTTAGAATGGAAGGAAACTTAGTTACTCCGCAGAGTTGTGTTGGGTTTCGGGGTCCTGCTTTGCTTTCCAAGCCTGCTCTACCCCCAGGCATGACAATCCGACACTGCCGCAAGTGCTGTTGCTTAACACAACAGGAAGTCTCCTTCATGAGCCAACCTGAGTCACCTCATTTTCTTCAAAGAAAGAGGGAGCCTTTGAGTAATGAGAAATATGATCCAGAACATATATTTTTGTACAAATTTTTTAAAAAATGACTTACAGATATTTTGGCTAAGTGAATTAATTTTCCCCACAGTGTTGATGAACTAGCCAGTTCAGGCAGGGATGCGTCCTGTGCTCGGGGCTCCTGTGAGTCCTAAATGTCCTCAGGAAACTGTCAGAATGGGCACTTAGGATGCTTGAAGAAGCACTGGAAAATGGTCTCTCCTTAAAAAGGCAAACAGGCAAACAAGTGAAATTGCTTTCTTTTCACACTGGAAGTCCAACCACAGCCAGGGACAAACAGAAATGAAGTTTCTGAAGCCTTGTGAGGTAGGGACAACTCCCTATCCTCTCACAATGCTTTTTTCTCAGATGTGAGTTCCACACACAGTGAACTAGATGGGAATTCTAAGCTAGGATGGGGCCAGGATCCTTGCTTTTCAGACAGCTTTCAAAATATGAAAGCATGTGTTTCTGTACTATGCTTCAGAAATGTCAACATATTTCTGATATAAGTTTTACCCATTTAAGAAAAATTTTGAAAATCAAATGAACTTATGGATGCCAGTTACTCCCTGGCCAGTGCAGCCCACCTTTGCCTGGGCCAGGCTCAGGCTTCCCCTCAGTGGCACTCTCGATCCCACTCACAGGGGCTGTGCCGGAACCTGGAATTTGGATAAAATCTCTGCCACCCTCGCTCCTCCCTGGGGTCGTGACAGGGACACCTTGCCCCCTAGCCTGGGTGCTGGTCATTCCTCTGCAGTACCAGCAGATCCTCAGACTCTGCAGATCCTGCCATTGGGACCCAATGTTCCTTCCTCCTCCTCCTCCTCCTCTTCCTCTTGTCCTTCTCCTCCTCCTCCATCTCCTTTTCCTTTTCTTCCTCTTCCTCCTTTTCGTGCTCCTCCTCGCCTACTTCCTCCCCCTCTTCCTCTTCCCCCTCCTCTTCCTCCTGTTCCTCCTCTTCCTCCTGCCCCTCTTCTTCCTCCTGCTCCTTCTCTTCCTCCTGCTCCTTCTCTTCCTCCTGCTCCTCCTCTTCCTCCTGCTCCTCCTCTTCCTCCT